ATATACTTTGAAAACAAAATAATATGATTAAATGGCGACCCTTCAAATAATTTATTTGGACAGAAGAAGATTCTTTGGAAATCTCTCTCACTCATCAGATTCCACTAACAGCTAGTCGAAAGACATAATTTTTACAAGAATTTGCGATGTAGATGAAGGGGTGTCGAGTTATATATTATCAATTACAAAGAAGATGATAAACAATTCAATGTATATATTTTGTTTAATGATCACTGAATCAAACGGCATATTGGGTACTAGTTTGAGGTGGGACTTGAATTTGAGAGGATGCGAGTTTCGATCCTGCATTGTATTGAAAAACAAAAACAAAAAAACAGAGGAGAAGAAACCCAATATAATTTCACGATTAATGATACAATATTATTTATACATCCATGAGATCATAACATAAACCATATATGAATATATATCACACACACCATGACCTCAACAAATACTAGCTGTACTTTAGCTTCTCTAATCTAAATTATTATAGCCTCAAACCCTCACATGAGTACACTTCACACTTGAACCTACGTAATCTTCACACTCATGAATTATCCAAACACCCAAATCAAGAAAAGAAACAAACTAAACCAAAACTCAAAAAAAAAAAAAAGAGTTAAAAAAACAAATTAAACAAACACAAGATCAGCAAATTAAATAACACACCAATTGTACGGCACACGAATTAACAACAAACGGAAACGCATGATTAGAAGTTGTTTGCTAGGTGTCCCTGACTTCAAAGACGTTACGGTTCTTGACGACGATGTCGTACATGTGCATGGACTTGAAGCGGCCGAAGTCCTTGGGGAGAGAGATAAGGTGGACGGTTGAGCGCTTGTGGAACTGGAGGAGTTCCGGGTCGTCGTAGTACCGCTCCCACCCCAACGACGACAGTTTGTGCTCCAGCACCGCGTACGACGTTATAACCTCGTTGCTCGGCGTGTGGACCAGCACCTTCCGCCGTCCATCTAGCCCCGGGTCTAGCCGAACCACGCCGTTCTTGAACACCCAAACTCCTGACATGATATATATATATATATATGTGATATAATATGTATATATTGCTACTAAGTGTATGATGAAATATGCGTATATATAAATGTGTGTGTGTGTGTGTATTCTTGGAGCTTATAGCTTTGTTGTGTAAGCTTGGAGAGATGTTGGTGGCAAAGGAGGGGTTTGAGTTGGGAATATAAATAGGCGTGTGAAAATGTGGTTAAAGTGAAATGTTAAGTTAAAGGGTGTACATTGCTTGTCATGATAAAAATAAAAATTTACAAAAAACAAAAAAGAAAAATAAAAAAGTTAAGGGGGGTGTATTCATATTTTATGGGCATGTTGGGGTCCGTAAAGAGAGAAAAAGTCTGGGGGATACATTAAGGGTCAGAGTGTTTGGGACACGGAGTACCATCATCTATGTGTGGGCATGTCATGGTACCCGAATAAGGGGAATCTTTTTTTTTTTTTTTTTTTTTTTTTTTTTTTTTTTAAATTCCGAGTGTTGAAACCCCACAAAGGGAATCTTTGTTTTGTTTTTTAAGGGGGGGAAAAAAAGAATTATTAATGGGATCTAGACTTATAAATAGTATTCTAGAGAAATAAAATGTGTAGACATAAAGGAAAAAAAAAAGAGTAGCGACTACTTGTTGGCTTGTGTTTTGTGGGCGTAGCTTTCAAAAAGTTTGTACACACCACGGATTAACATTGCCCAAATATTTTTCTACCGGGGTATCCCCAAAAGGAGCAAATAAAAGGAGGTAGGATTGCGATGGTTGCTTGAGAAGGCAATTAATATGTGACTCTAGAAGGGCCGGTTTCACTATCGTTTATTGAGATAGAGAAGAGTTATTTTAATTGGGACATTAAGAATATTTAACGTCCAAATTTTACATTATATCAAGAGTAGTAAAAATGAACCCACACAATTTATAAAGGTTCGTATATGAAATTTCGTTCTCTTTTAATCGCTGCAGTGATGAAGAAGTTTACAATAAAAAATTGCACACTACACTAGAAAATCTAGTTGTGCAATTGAATTTATAAGTGTGAAATCCGCAAGGTCGATTCTTTAGGGCAATAATTAAGCTCCTCCACGTATTAACATGAAAAAGGGCAAAAAATTAGTCAAATCTTAGCAAATACACCATGACATGTGGAACAAAATTATACTTACTCTACTAATGTATGTACGTAGCTGTCTAGAACTAGTGAGACCATATCAATGGTTTGTGTAGTTGAAAGAAGGTAGCCATCAATTAGAGTAGCTTAAAGGCCCGTCAGGGTTTAAATCAGGATTGTTGATCATGACTTTTGAAATTTAAATTTTTTATGAGACAAAAATACTGTAACAAAATTAAAATCACGAATTTACACTGTAGCAGAGCCCATATACCAAACACGCACTAAATAATTATTAATGGAAAGTCAGGGATGCTCGATATAGCTTTGCCCGCGGTCGGCAGTGTTGTGAGGTGAAATTGGAATTGGATGTCTTGGAATATTATATATTATTTATGTAAGAAAAAAATTAAAGTTGGGGATGCTCAAACGTTGCCCATTGGTAATGTTGGTATTATAAAAGGTTAATGTTTCTTTTTTCCAAAGTTGTGATTGGTCGTGAGGAAAGTTGATGAGAGAGAGAGAGAGAGAGTACGTGGGGGCATGAGGGATGGAGTGGGACCAAAACAGAAAAGGATTCTCAATTCTCTTGCTAGTTGTTGGCGTTCATGGGGAGTCTTATATACAACAAGTAATTAATTAACTACTATATTAACCAAAAAAAAAAAAAGAAATAATAAATACTACAAATAGTACTAGATGTTTATAAACGTACTCTCTTTTTATCTTGCTACTATTTTCCTAACTACTGTTTGAATATACGTTTTTCTTGTCGGTCTCTATATATATGGCTAATAGTAGCTAAAGTTTACTCGAGTTATATCTTAATAATAATTAATTAAATGCTAAGCATATAATCAATAGTGATCGTCACCGCTAATTTTCAGCGAATCAGAATTTGTTAGGTAAACTTCTAAAGCTTTTTGTATCTTTAGCTTCACAAATTACACGGCAGGGCAATAAGTATGGTCACCAAATAGTACTATATTGCAATTCTCATCTTCGTTAAATCTTTAACACTCTTTCGCCTTAAAACATAATAAAAAAAAGTGTTCTACTTGTCCATACGTGTGTAATATATTTTGCCACTTTCTCTTAATTTTTAGGTTTCCAATCCCCTTTTGGAATAAATATCAAGATTTTCCAACCACATGATCAATGTGTTTCCACAAACAACCAAAAAAAAAAGACATTAGATATATTAAAGAGAGACAAATGAAGATTTGAAAGCCCTAGAATGTGGGTTTTGTCTCTTGCTCATAAAAAAGCTGAATACATGCAAATTAATGCACGAGACCGCATATATATATATATATACATATATATATATATATATATATGCAACTTGGAGATATGAAGAAATATCAAAATCTCAAAAAAGTGGTAGTATTAATAGCTAGCAGATTCCGGCATCTAATCTTGAGCCAACCAAAGCCATTGGCTAGGCGTACAATGTGTACCCCTTAAGTACAGACATTCCTTCTTTTGGCCAGCACTGTGCTCGTGCTCTTGCTAGATTTTGCAACACCCTCCTCGTGCACAAATGGTCCTGCACTGACTGAGACTTTGGACCCAACCCAACCAAAATCCTCTTCCATTGATTATATATATATATATATATGTATGTATATATGTATACATATGCATGTATATTGCCTTCTGTTTGACAATGATCTCGATCATCTCTGCTTTTCTTTATAAGGGTCTACTTCTTAATGTTTTGTCACCTTGTTTGAACATTAATTCCGCGCACCCTCATTGGACCACCTTACAATTTCTCAACTAGTTTCTTCTCCTTCTTTTCCCATTATCTTTGACTTTTTTTTTTTTTTTTTTTTTTTTTTTTTTTTTTTTTTTTTTTACCCCCCTTTTTGCCTTTGTAACCCCCTATATATATAATTGTTAATGCGTATTTAAACCTAGTTCAATTAATTCATCCAATTGATTAATTAGTATAATTCTGCGACAAGGTAAAAAAGGAAAATGCCGTGTCATAACTGTTTTAAGTTTGACATGGTCTTTTAGATCTCAAAATTAAACATGCACTACTCGTAGGTAGATTATTTATCAAAAAACCCCTTATTTATTCTAATTATCATATGATTTACAACCGGCACATATTTTCTTTTTATTAATTAGTATACTGAAATTGATTTTAATACATTAATACAAACTTCAAATTTCAAGAATTATACTCTTTGCTCGATCGGTCCCTGATTCTTATTTATAGCTCCAGTTTTTGACATAATTAGTTTCCAATATTTTCCTTGCAAATTAGAAAATCTCATTAATATTGCAGGGTCTCTATCTGGAAAAAATTGTGAACTATTCTAAACCTAGCTAGTGCTTTACTACCAACTACCAAGTGTAGCGTTTCTACTCTAGTTTGTTCAAGTAAATTAGGTTCAATATAATTGGAGCCAAATGTAAGGCATATATATATATATATATATACATACAAATTTGATCACGCAAAGAATAAACACAAACTCTCAAAAGTTTCTTTGCAATGATCATGACCTACATAGAAAGAGACGTGGCATAATCAAACGGTTCCCACCTCATGTTTTATGTCCATCTCAAACATCAAATTTAATATGATTCTTCAAAATCCCACGAATAGGATTTTGAGGTCCAAGAAATGCCACCTCACAATCTGACGTATACATACAAAATATATGAATATATAGTTCGTCATCAAGCTTTCCAGGCATATGAAGCTAAGTTAGAGAGGACTTATCCAAGTGATTGCCAGACAAGATTTTTTCTCAAAAATGCCTTGCTTTTAATCCTAAATATCTATCACTGCATGCATGCATGCATGCCAAGAGTAGGCTCCACAAAGTCTGGAGAATTAAACTCTCTCAATCGACACATACAACAAAACCCATGTGTGATTGTCCCTCACACAAAGGCCAAAAATTAAGTCCTATATTTAAGTAGGCAGCCTAGGAGAAGCCTAGGAGAATCGTACGTGTATATCTATAGATATATGTATAATATCATTATATATATTCCAAATGTATAATCAGGTGCGGAGTCACAAAAATAAGTGAGGAGCGACGAACATGAATTTATAAATTCAGATTTCAAAGGTGGGGATGGTACATTATGTTTAGATTTTCAGGGGAGAAATTACACATTTTAATCTACAAAATCAAAAAAGAAAAAAATTTAAGTGGTCTATCCTTGTAGCTCCACACATGGGTATAATATAGATATAGATATGTTATAATTCTTCAGATGTGTATGCCTTTCCAGATCAACCTCTCCTTTTCTCAAGTAAAGCAACGATCCATCTTAATCACTAAAGATCAAAATAATATTGGTGGTTTGGTTCCGTCTGGTTTTATAACGTGACCAAAGAATGGTTTTTTATCTTTATTCACGTGAATGTCACAAAGTCGAATTTTTTTTTTTTTTTTTTTTTTTAAATATAGATGCAAACAAAAAAGACAGTAAATTGTAGCCTGGAGATGCAAAGATTAAGTAGAAAGTAGGCAGTACTTGCACTTTAATTAGCACGTACTTTACGCAGAATCTTTAATTTATTAACTATGAAATAACAGGTTTAATACCTACTTAATCCTTCTGGAAATTGGATCGGATACTTGCAATTATCAAAGTAATATTAGTTTGGTGAAGATATTCTTTATGACCCCATTTTGCTGATCAGTGCAAGAGAAGCTTGAGATAATTTTTCAGCCCAATAATTTACTCTTAAAAAAGGAATTTTCCCCCCCCCAAAAGTGAAAGTAGTTTCCACAAATGATTATTGCTCCTAATTTTAAGTTTTGGTATCTTAATTAATTTAAATTATTAATGGTCCCTCCTATGTATATGAACTTATTCCCCATTATACTATAATACTACAAGAAATTACTCATTGGTTTTAGAAAAAGGGTACATATTATTTTCTTAATGTTGCAAATATCATTGGGAATTTTTCTACTGAGATAGAAAAAGAGAATTTTGCTATAAAGGGAATAAAATAAAAAGTAAAATAGATCAGAATGATTTGCTTATCTATTACTAGATTATGCCTAACTTTGATTAAAAAATGGATGCA